TTTGGGTTTTAGAATATTGAATACTGAAGTAATAATATATGAAAAATTAATTTCTTACATTTGAGCAAGTTAAAATATATTTAAAACCTTGAGCAGAATTAGGAAAATGGAAAAAGAATTCGAACTGATATGTAACTGGGTCATTTGACAGAAATGATGAGACTGTAAATATCCAAGTATACCAGTCATATGCAGCTTTTAAAAAGTGTCACGATACCTTCAGTAGCACAGGACAAAAGTGAACAGTTGTATAACCCTGAAAAAGTTTGTCCCCATCATGTTCCAATTTTCCATGTAAAGGCTTAAAAATCCATTTTAATTAAGAGTAATAAACAACACTTTATTAGAACGCATCGATAAGCATAACACCATTTCCTAATGTAATACAACTTTGACACCTTTGAATTAAAAAATGATCTATCTTGCTTTTGACCAGCTTTATTATATAGCATGAAGTCATTGAAGGTGATAATTATCTGGAACTTTTAGTTTATATGCTCCGTTTGGATAAATCAGATCTCAAGGTCGATTTTTTGGCACTTTTTTTTATTAGAGTCTTAGCTATTCTTATGGCCAGTCTTCACCAGGTAATCGCCAAGTCTATACTTTTCCTTGATGGATGTGGAATTCCTGGGCATTTCAACAAAACAAACCCTCATGTACATGCATTAGAAATACTTGAAGTTTCCAAATGGGGAAGCCACATTTAGAAACTCTCTAGAATCGGCATATTCAATGAGCAGATTCCGTTATCAGTGAGCTTAGAATACTTAACTATTTCCTGTTTGCTCTCTTCCCAGAGTTACATGCAGAATTGGGCCAACTGCACGTGAATCTTGTTTCTTTATCTTTCAGAGACGTAACTGAGGATAGTGTTTCAGCTTATTAGGGTTTCAAGCCAAAGTAGAGCATTATAATGACATGGGCAAAGACCTGGAGTTAGGAAGTCAAACAGGAAGAACATGCTTAGCATATCTCCAGCTGAAAGAATTGAAGAAAAAATTCAAGCTTCAAGTTGAAATATTGAAAGATCCTAGGGGAACATACTGAAGAAGCATCAAAGGAAGATGGGAGAAATACATAGTCACTGTACCAAAAAGAACTGGTCAACATTCCACCATTTCAAGAGGTAGCATGTGATTGAGAACTAACGCACTGAAAGCATTAGCCAGAAACAAGGCTCCAGAAATTGATCGAATACCCACTGAAATGTTTCAACAAGCTGATGAAGCTCTGGAAACACTCAATTATGCCAAGAAATTTGTAAAACAGCTAGATGGCCAGCTGACAGAAAGGATCCATATTTGTACTCCTTCCAAAGAAAGGTGACCCAACAGGATGTGTAATTATTGAACAATATCATTAATAGTATATGCAAATAAAAATTTCCTGAAGATATTTCTAAGAAGGATGCAGCAATACATTGACAGGAGGCTGCTAGAAATTCAGGCAGGATGCAGAAGAGGACGTGGAACAAGGAGTATCATTGTTGACATCAGATGGATCTTGGCTGAAAGAGGGCAATACCATAAACAAATGTTTACCTGTGTTTTATTGACTATGTAATGACCTTGACTTGTGTGGATCATAACGAGGAAACACTGTGTGGTTAAAATCAGGAAAGATCTGTATGTGCCGGGGTTTGTACTTCACCACACTATTAGTCCGTATGCTGAGCAAGTAGTCTGGGAAGCTGGATTTTGCGAAGAAGAATGTGGCATCGGGGTTGAGGAAGGCTTATGAACCTGCAACACGATGATGACATAACCTTGCTTGCTGAAAGTGAGGAGAACTTGGTGACGAAAACCAATGACTACAGACTTTCCAAATCAACTACAGATCACAACTCACTGCGAAGAAAACAAAATTCTCACCTCTGGCCTATTAGACAATACGATAAATGAAGAAAAGTTTGAATTTGTCAAGAATGATCTTTGACTTGGATTCCCAATCAAGGCTCATAGACCAACCAAGAAATAAAACGATGAATTGCAATGGGCAAGTCTGCTACACAAGACGTCTTCAAAACTGTGCAAAGCAAAGAGGGCACTGAGTACTAAGATATGTCTTCCCTGTGTCATAGTATTATTTATTTTTAATTCATTTTGTTGGGGCTCGTACAACTCTTACCACAATCCATACATCAATTGAGTCAGGCATGTTTGTACATATGTTGCCCTCATTCTTTTCTAGACATTTACTTTCTATTGAGCCCTTGGTATCAGCTTCACCCCACCACCACCCTCATAACCTCCTGATAGATTGTACATTGTTATTGTTTTCATCTCTCACACTGACTGCTGTCTCCCTTCCCCCATGTTTTCTGTTGTTCTTCCCCCTGGAGAGGGGTGTCTGCTTATGTGTTGATCTTTGAGATCGGTTCCCCCTTTCTCCCTTCCTCTCCCCCTCTTCCCCCTACCCTTTTGGAATCACATTCCTACTCCTGTTCCTGGATTCTGTGTGTCGTGAGCTACCATCCCTTTCTATACCTGTGTACATGTTCCAGTCTAGTCTGAATTGGGAAGCAGCACTGGAGTCATGGTAGTTGAGGGTGAGGAAGCCTCAAGGAACCAGAGGAATATAGTGTGTTTCATCGATGCTTTACGCGCCCTGGTGACTCATCCCCTCCCTCTGGGCCCTCTGTGGGAGGATTGTTCCACTGTCTACAGATGGGCTTTGGATCGCTGCTCCAACTCCTCTCGTTCTCAAAAATATGTTTTTGTTTGTTATGTGTCTGCTGATGCCTATTACTCAGTCCCTATGACTCCTCATGACTGAACCAGCGGTGTGCTTCTTCCATGTGGATTTGTTGCTTCAATGCTGAATGGCGGCTTATGTAACTTTAAGCCTTAAAGACCCCAGACACTATATCTTTTAATAGCCGGGCACCATCTGCCCTCTTCACCACATTTGCTTATGTACCTGTTTTGTCTTCAGCGATTGTGTTGGGAGGGTGAACATCTCAGACTTCCCATTGGCTAGAACAAAGTGCTCTTTTATTGAGGGAGGGTGTGAGCAGAGGCCCAAAGTCCATCCCCTATGTCAGTGTATGTGGGGGGAAGTCAGATCCTTGCTGCCAGACTGCTGTCTCATCCCACAGCAGGGCTGGGCCTGCTCCCTGCTGCTGGAGACAATGGACTACCTCTCTCT